TAGATCAAACCGACATACATTTGCATGGATAGGAAACTCTAAAATACTATACAATTTGTGGCAAGTATTATATCATTCAAAGGAATAGCCAAGCAATAATGAAACTAGTTATATGAGATGTAATGGTAGTCTCAAAATCCTACTCATAAACGAAAAATACTGAAACTCATTTACAGATGAACTAGATTTATATTCCCTGCTTCTAAGAGAGATACTATGTCTTAATTAGCTATAATGACCACTCAGGAAAAGATTTGACATTATTATCGAAGGTTGCAAACTTCTAATTCTTATGAATCCATCAATACCTTATACTAACTTAACATAGTAATAAGCTGCCTCAACTTGGATTATCTATGATGTTCCCAACGTTATATAAGATTTTGAATTTTTTATTTCGGTAATATTTACCTAATAAAAATTAATAAAAGATTAAATAAATACTAATCTTTGTGTTAATTTAGCTATTAAATTTTAAAACTCTCTCCTTAACTATTCTAAATGGTGATATTTATTCATTTATCAATTTTATGTTGGATTGACTTCATTTTAGTATGCTTCCCACTTGCAGTGGCCACGTTGACCCTACTCATCCTCGCGTTGGCCCTGCTATGCTCAACTAAATAAGATCTTCCTTTTCTTTGTTAGCTTGCATTTATGTATATTAATCCACGTAAAATTCTAGGTACTATTCGTCTCGTAATACCTACATTGGTCCGTTTATTATGGCCGTCTATCATGATAGAAACTTAATAATTAACTATATCCCCCGAGATATGGCAGATGTTGAACTCCTTGGATTATTTTCACGCTACGGTTCCGTCAAGACATGCCGCATTATCCGCGACAGGAGTACGGGTGTCAGTTTCGGCTTTGGATTCTGTGAATATGAGACATCTGTTTCTGCTCGAAACGCCATTTCTCACCTTAACGGATATTGCGTCAACGAAAAAGTCTTAAAAGTGTCCTTTGCGAGGGTTCAAGAGACATCTAATACTACAAATCTCTATGTTAAGAATTTTCCAGTGTGGGTGACGGAGCAACATCTTTGCGCGCTACTTTCTCGATTTGGCCGTATTGTTCAATGTCGTGTGCTACGTGATCATACTACTCAGCAGCCCAAAGGGGCCGCATATGTTCTTTTCGAGTCTCAGACAGATGCTGAGCTTGCCAAGGAAAACTTGGACGGAAAGCCATGGCCTGGATCCTCTGATTGTCTCTTGGTGTCCGTCCGATATGCTAGTCCGCCTCATCGTCTTGCTTGTAGGAAAACATCTAACATCCAAAGCCAGCGTCCAGCCGTCCAGCATAATAACCTTCCAACTCCTGATCAAAGCGTTTTTACAGGATCAAACATAGCATCCCAGTTTCTGTCGGCCTGCAATCAGAGGACGGCGCCAAATAATGCATATCATCAGGGTCATCACCGTTTTCCCCATGCCCAAGGATTGATCGGGCAAAATTCTGCTATTCATTCTGCGCTGACCCCGCTCTATGGCGTTGTTTGGCCCCCTAGCAGTCCCGTCGCTTCGGACATTCCTGGGTTCAGTAATCAATTTCCACTTACTCATCAAGGCTACTATCATCACCAATTGCCTCTAGCTCAACAATCCTTCCCTCTATTATGGCCACAGTCTTTCACACCCGGAACACTTCAAACAGCGCAGTATCCAAATACTTGTTTGAATACCGCCGATTCTGTGCTCAACGGTAGTCACTTCAACTCTTCCTTGCCGAATTTTTTTGGCTCCTATCT